GTGTGTGTGTGTGTGTGTGTGTGGTAATTGGGTGCAGCCAGCTGACAGGATGTCTAAAAGCAGAACAGAGGAAACTGGTTTAGTGAAAGCGTCTCGTTTTGTCTCGACACTCTGGACCGTTTCTCTGGTCAGTCAGACACTCGGGTCAAAGGTCACCGTAACGTGATGCTAGGAGGAAGTTTGGCAGGGTTTTGCTGGTCCAATCATGCATAGATAATAAAAATTATTTTCCAAATTCTGGGATCAACAAAGAAAATGTTAAAAGCATTTTAAATGAGGCTAAGTGGGAGTGAAAGGCCAGCAACATAATAACCTGGTGCAACATGAACCAGGTTGTTATGGTAATAAATGACTGATAGATATTCCACTTTGCTGTTAATCTGAACTGAATCAGCAGCAGATGATCAGGATGGAGGATCAGGTCCAGACCAGAATAAATCCAAAGATTTATGAAGCAGATTAACAGGATGAAACTTTGCTGGTTGGTCAGAACCAGAGGGACCAGAAAACTGATTAAAATAAATTTCATCAGAGTGAACCAACGTGATGAAACCTCCTGGATGGAGTCGACAGACGAACATTTGACTGACTGACCGTCCCTCATCCTGAGAGGATCAGATACCTCAGAGGTTTTCCTCACAGACGTTGCCATGTCATTCAGAGCCTCCACATCCTGCTGGCTCTCCAGGGTTGCCAGGTCTGTGTACGTCTGTCTGCAGAAACGCTGAGCTTCAGTCCAGTTCTTCAGCTCATCCACAAAAACATATTTAAGCTCAGGAGGCCTGGAGGTCGAGCTCAGGCCTGCAGGGCATAATTCATAACTATCTGTTAAAATACAGGGAAATATTAAGACCTGGAAATAAAAATATTAAAACCTGGAAGCCATCAGTAAAATATTAAACATAATAATCTTCCCTCACCAAAAGCCACCAGGATCCAGATGATTCTCTCCATCTTCTGCTCTTCACTTCGTCTGCAGCTGATTTTATTTTACCAGATAAAATTAGTTGGAAATGTCAACAACTGCATGCAAAGTAATGCGTTGTCATGCCAACGGATATTTAGACACAATATACATAACATAAAAGGGGAAGTTCAGGATTAATATCATCCTCTGATAATGTCGGGATTCAGAAGGTTGGCAGCTTTTTCACCAGCAGAGGGAGCCAGGGATGGAGTCGGCGGCTGCACACCTGTTTCCCATTCGCTCGTCTGGAGGAGTATAAGTGGAGGAGGACGCTGACACTTCCCCGCCAGAGTGTTAGCCAGTAATGGTATCGGCCTACCTCAAGCCATCTAGACCTTGTTTCCAGCCTCTGATCTACCTTGTTTCTGTGTTCACAGCTACCCTGGGCCACCGAGCCAGCCTCCATCCTCGAGACGTTCCAGGTCTTGTCTGTCCCTCAGCTGCCGCCGCCCCTGTTCCTAGCCCGCCGACCAGCCACCGAATCCTCACCTTTTCCCCAGGCCATTAACCCCCAGATCAGGTATCCCTCCCAACCACCTTTCCCCGGCACAATCCCGGAACCTGACTAACCCCCTCCGTCTCTTCCTAGTTTCCCCGAGAGCCGTCAGAGGAATCAAAAGATTACACTGATTGTTGTAACTCACTGTAAATAAATTTCACGATTGCATTGCCTGTCTCTGGAGTGTTTCTGCATGTGGGTTAGAAAACTCGACACCACCATGACAGATAATCAGCTCACCTGTTGGAGTGACCTCTGACCTCCAGGTGAATCTTTGTATTTGCTCTGATTGGTTGAGGCATTAATGATTTTAAAAACATAAAAAATAATTTAAATGTTTTTAAAAGGCTTCCAGTGAACCTGAGTTGATTCTGAAATCATTTCAGTTTTTATTTTTCCAGTTTTGTGCTGAATCTCCGGTTTTCGTTCTGAACGTTTAGAGTCTGTTTTCCTTCTTTCACATCAAATGTTTTTATGATTCCAGACGGTTTTTAACTCATTTCTATTTTAACTTTATTCTCTTTTATGTCTGTGACGTTTTCCTTTTATCCAGTAAAACTGTTAATAACATTCATGTAATCATGAAGCGTTTCTCTGGATCAGATGAACGTGTTAGTCGCTGTTTTGATGCCATTATTTTACTCATCAGTCCTCTGCAGCGACGCCACAATATTTAACATCAAATGTAAAAACAAACTAATTCAATTTTTGCTCCAACTCCAGGTTTGAAAAGCAAAAAGAAAAGATAAAGTAACCCATCAGAAAGCTGGAGGCAGTGGAAACGTTTTGGTATAAAACGAACTGGATGTTTGTTCTGATTCTCATGAAGTTTGGTTTAAATCTCTGAACATGAAAAAATTTGCATCACTGATATTCAAAGTTTTTCCCTTTAAGTTTTATCCAGATCCTCCAAAACTTCAGAGGAAAAGTGTTTTCTTTCACATTCATGCAAACGACTCAGTGGGAAACGAACGGCTTGGTTTCGATTTGTGCTTCTGACTTTTTATAGTAACAAATTGATGTGAAAAGAAAATATTTCCAGTTCAGAGAAACCAGCCAACCAGACAGACCAGTGACCAGTGGTTGGCATCATTTAGTTCATCTTTATGTAAGTATGTCTGTAGCTATAAGTCCAGGAAGGTTTGGATTTAAAGTATTAAATATTTTACACAAACAAACTGAGAATCTTTTCTGTGAAAAACCAAACGGGTTTGATTTCTGAGGCAGGAAGCATCAGAGTAATCAGATTCCAGGAACAGCTGCTGCGTTAAAACAGGAGCCGAAACGAAAAAACTGAAAATCAAAACAAATAAACTGCAAAACCAGGCAGAACGTAGCGAAGTAAATGATCCGAATGTCGCTGGACTCATTAACATAAATACAAAATGATCAGAACTCAAATTAAACAGGAAAGTTCTGGTACCAAACTGCAGAAACCATAAAAACCAACAATCGTTTCTATTTTCATAAAGCTGATATCATGCAGAACGGAAACTTCAAAGGCTCTGCAGTTTGAAAACAGCAAACAGTGAAGACGCTCCGCAGACGTGATGTCACTTCCTGTGCGATCTGCAGACGTGATGTCACTTCCTGTGCTGAGCCCTGGCCTCCCAGCTGAAGGAGCTTTAACTTTGTGACCAGATTAAAGTTTAAATCTTCTGTAAAGTGAAATGTTTGCTTCAGGTTTTGTGTCGGTGGCGTTGATGAGCAGTTTGGCAGCAAAGCAGCCGGGAATCGAACCGACGCCTCTGCTGCAGCTGTAGTTAATGTTTCCCATAAATTCAAATGAAACGGCAGCTTTTCATGAAGGTCAGGACTTTATCAGGCCTGTTGGCTGTTCATCTGCCTCGGACTGAAGGAGGAAGATGGAAGCCGTTCTGCTCTCCATCGTCGCTGCTGCAGGTTTTTCTGTGATCATATTTCTGATCATAAGGTTGTTTTAGAAACGTTTAGCGGCGCTGCAGTCTGGTTTTAATCTCTTATTGATGTTTTCTGATGCTAACAGCTCATCAGTTTCAGCTGCAGCCATTAAACTGTTTAAAGCTAATAATAATAATGATATTAATATTGATCTTCATGTTTGTCGGTGCAGTGCTCAGTTCTGTTCCTGGACGGAAATATTGTTTAGTTTCTGAAGGATTGGGCTGCAGCTCAGAGCTTCTCCAGAGAAGTTTTCAGACCTGGCATCGATCCACAGCGTGAAGGCGCTGAACGAGCTGCTGGACTGGAGGGAACTGGGAGAACTGGGAGAGGCCATGGATCCACCAAACCGGTCTCCAGAACCAGTGGTGGCACCTTTAGAAAGAAAAGAGGCATAGAAAAAAAGAAACAAGAAATAAACAAATGTAGGACTCCAGAATACTGGTTGGACTGGTTGCTCCGAGTTGGACTGGTTGCTCCGAGTTGGACTGGTTGCTCCGAGTTGGACTGGTTGCTCCGAGTTGCTCTCTGCCATAGTTGCCTGTTGTCACAGATTCTGTTCATAGCGTTGATCAGTCTGCAGACCAGCTGGCCCGTTCTGGTGACCTCAGAGTCTCTTTTTGCGGATGATGTCGTCCTACTGACTTCATCGGGTCGAGATCTACAGTGTTACTGGAGCAGCCGGTGTTGGCAGAGAGCCTTCTCCGGTCCGGTCTGGACTGGTCTGGTCTGGTCTGGAATGGTCCAGTCCGGTCCGGTCTGGTCTGGTCTGGAATGGTCCGGTCTGGACCGGTCTGGTCCGGTCTGGACTGGTCTGGACTGGTCTGGTCTGGTCTGGTCTGGTCTGGTCTGGTCTGGTCTGGAATGGTCCGGTCTGGACTGGTCCGGTCCGGTCCAGTCTGGTCTGGTCTGAAATGGTCCGGTCTGGACCGGTCCGGTCCGGTCCAGTCCGGTCCCTGCTGTATGTTCGGTTGGATGAAGGTTGGACTTGTGGTCTCTGCCCCCTCACCCAGGCCTGGTTTCAGCTGTTGGTCGGACCGTTGAGGGTCCCGTTGATCCGTTTTGCTCCCATCAGCCTTCGGGTTGATTCGCTCGTCATCGTCAGAAGTCTTCGTCTCTGAGAGTTGATGTTAGAAACTAAAACCAGGAGAAATACTTCATGGTTTTACTGCAGAGTTCTGACTAAATGTCCCGCTCTGCCAGATATCTTCATTTCTCTTGCTGATGAGTTTCATGAGGTGAAAACATTAAACTTTAACAGAGACAACAGAACCCGGTCCTGTTGGAACCGTCACTTTGACCATAAATAATTCAGTTGTGACTTTAGTGAACTGAACAGTGAACCAGTTCTTTCTAAGAGTGAATCGTAAGTCTGAGGCGTTCAGGGTGTAAGGGAGGAAGTGCTCTCCTCTCCAGACTCCCTGGATCGGTTTGTACGATGACGTCCGACTCCGACTTCTACCAACAAGACGAGGAGAAGTTCAGGAACTGGGCGTCCGGAGAACCAAACAATAACTATGGAAGAGAGAACAGCGCTGAGATGTGTGGAGACGGACGCTGGAATGACGGATTCTGTTATCGAACTCGAAGTTCCATCTGCTTTGATGTCAAAGGTCAGCATTTTATTTGCTATAAAATGACTGGACGTTGCAATTTTCCACATTAAATTTGATAGTTTAATGTTGAAGCTCATTTTTGTGATTTTTAAAGTTTTATTTGTGTTTTAGGGACAAACATGACCTGGATGGAGGCTCGGCGGTACTGCAGGGGGCACCACACCGACCTGGCCGGCGTCAGGAACCTGGCAGAGAACCGGCAGCTGCAGGTCCTGGTGCCGACCGGGCAACGGGTCTGGATCGGCCCGTGCAGAGAGTCCTGGAAGTGGTCGGATGGAAGCGGCTCGGCTTTTAGCTTCTGGATGTTTGGAGAACCCAATAATACCAGGCAGAACTGAACCGCGGCGAACATGAAAGATTCTGGAAGATGGCAAAACTTTTACTGCACACAAAAGAAATCATCAGTTTGCTCTGCAGGTATGAAACAGTTCTGTTGGGTTTGATTCTGTTGGGTTCTGTTTGGGTTCCTTTGGGGTTGTTTTGGTTCTGTTTCATTTGTTTTGGTTCTGTTATTTTTGTTTTGGTTTGTTTTGGTTCTGTTGGGTTTGTTTTGGTTGTGCCAGAAAAAACAGCCCTCTCCGCTGTGCATCATGCTGGTGTTTGTGCCGTTTAGTTTCTCCGGTTGTGTCTTTGCTCTGATCCAGATTTATAACCTGCAGCCATGTTGTTTTCAGAGGATTTCTTCTTCAGACATGATAAACTTTTTCAAGCCACGATGCTCTCAATTGTTCAAAATTAATTTAATCCTTTTTTCTTTTTCTCTTTTTTTTTTTTTTACAAAGATCCATTTTTAAAGCAAGTGAAGCTGAAGGTGATGAGAAGTTTCTCTGTGGATCTGAACGACCCGGACCTGCTGACGAAGGTAAATCATGTCTTTTATCTTGACTTCCTGTTTTATTTTGGTAGATCCTGTTTCATTGTTCACTTCCTGCTCTTTGTTCATCTCTAGTTCATTGTTTTCTTTGTAGCTCGATCAGTTTTCTGTCTTTATTTACCGATAAATAAAGACGCAGTACCTGAAATGACCACACGGGGGCGGTGTGGTGAAAGCCGATGAAGCAGAAGCTGAGGGAGCAGGAAGTGAGCGGAGACATCAGACTGAGCTGGAGGAAGCAGAAAGATGGAAAAATCTTCCAGAGACACGAAGAGAAAATCAGGAGGAAGAAGAACGATGAGCTTTAGACGATCTGCTCCTGCAGATGAAACGTGGCTTCAGAAGTCTGTCTCATAAAGCAGGAGGAGTTTATGCACCACAGGAAGCAGCTATTTAAAGATTAAGATGTTGGTTTGTGAATGTTATTAATCTGTATAAATGTAGCAGAACCGACATGAGATTCTGTTCAATAAAATCAGGTCTGATGGAAACCAGTCTGAGTTTCATCTGCTTCTGAATCATTTTATTATGACACAAACTGACTGTAACCTGGCAGCTATTTAGCCTCGATTTACAATTAAGAAACATAATATTTAGTTTGGAACTCTCAGCTATAAATATTTGATAAATTATGATTTAAAAGTGATTTTTTTTCTCTCTCTCACTAAAATGTTGGTGAGAGAATAAACTAAAATGTTACTGTTAATTGCTATAAAAATTAAAATTGTGAAATGAGACGCTGGTAAAGTTTAGTTATCAGAAATCTTGATTTGTACACGTAGAAAAATGTTTTGAATCTTAAATGATTTCCTGAAGAGAAAAGAAAAAATGAGCCGACCGGTTTTAGATTGTTTATCTAAATGTTTTGTGACGTTTTGTTTTGTCTGAACTGTTAGAACCGTTCTTTGATCAAAGTGAAGACAGTTCTCTGCTTCAGGTAGGATATTTACTGCTCATAATCCCTGAGCAGAACCCCGTTTTGAACATAAACTCTCCATTTATGGCTTTTTGCCCTTCACAATATGGCGGCTTGTTGACGTGTGGAAGCGTTTCAACACGCGTCAGCGCACAAAGATGACGTATGCGAAGGCGCCACTTCCTGCTTCCTGACAGCACCAGTTGTCCTGATCTTCTGGTCGTTGTTGGACTTTCTGTCTCCGTGTCCACCTGTCTGTCCACCTGTCCGTCCGGGTCCATGCGCGCTCCCGTCTGCGCGGCGCTGCTGCTGCTGCTGTGCGCGCTGAGCGACGCGGCGGCTCGTCAGTTCTCAGAGGAGCAGATGGCGGCTGTCAGGTGAGCAGGACAGGTGTTGGTCCAGGACCAGAGCAGATTTCCGTCTCCCCTGGTTCTGGTTCTGGTATCGGATGGCAGCTGCTGCAGTGTCAGAGTCGGAGGTTTGAATCCCAGCTCCTTTCTGCTGGTGTGGTTTTCTCTGAGTCCTCCAGCTTCCTCTCCCAGTATGAAACCATCTGGCTAGCTTAAAAAGATCAAGCTAGGCTAAAAACATCATAATTATCTTAACAATAATAATGTATAAAATGTATATTGTATAATAATGTATAGTAAAAACATGTATAACATAAATAATTGTGTATAAAAATGTTTAATTGGTAATAATAAAAATATTTTTACCAAATATCTCTTGTAAATATTGTTTGTATTTGTCCGGCGTAGAAGTTTCAGTGTTTGTAATTTCATCCTGTTTGATGTGTCCAGCTTCTAGCAGCTGTAGATCTACACCCTGCAGCTTCTGTCGGGTTTAGATCTACACCCTGCAGCTTCTGTCGGGTTTAGATCTACACCCTGCAGCTTCTGTCGGGTTTAGATCTACACCCTGCAGCCTGTAGATCTACACCCTGCGGCTTCTGTCGGGTTTAGATCTACACCCTCCGGTTCTGATCCGTGTTGACTGTAACCTGCAGGCAGCGCATCAAGTCCATGTTCTACCACGCCTACAACAGCTACCTGAACAACGCCTTCCCCTACGATGAGCTCCGCCCACTCACCTGCGACGGACATGACACCTGGGGCAGGTGAGGCCACGCCCACAACGCCTGGGTTTCCCTGTAAAGAACCAGATTTATTTTATTGTAAAATCTACTCCTGATTTGCTGAATAATTAGATTGTTATAGACTTAAAGGTTCAGTACGCAACTTTTATAAAAATGTTTTTTACATTTTTTTCTCCATGTTGGGACATTTTGTTGTGAAATAGATAATCTGTGAAAAGATGGATCTCCTCCCTGAGCTGCTGGTGAAGAAACACACTTCCCGACCAAAACAACCACTCAGAGCCAGGAGTCTTGGCGCTGTCAGTCATCCTCATGTACTCGCTGCTAAATGGCACAGAAACGACCGTTACAGGAAAACTGTATCTGCTGTATTCTGTGGCTATGCTAACTAGCTTTAGCATTCACAACAGGCTGTGCAAGTTGCAACGTAGCAAACATTGATTGACAGCGCTAAGACCCGCCTCCTGGCTCTGATTGGCTGATTGTAACATCGGGGCAGAGGAGATCGATCTTTTTCACAGATTGTCTCAGTTTGGTGTCAGTTTCAACAAATGTTAAAAATATTTTTATAGAACTTACTGCAGCTTTAATGTGTATGAGTTATTACATAATTATCTGTTTTATTTGTTTTTATTTGTTAAACAGCAGAAAATAAACTAAATTATTTAAAATTGTGTTTCTATGTTCAGTTTCTCTCTGACTCTGATCGACGCCCTGGACACACTGCTGGTGAGAACCCAAACCTGTTCTGGTCCGGTCCAGTCTGGTCTGATCTGATCTGATCTGATCTGATACGGTCCGGTCCGGTCCGGTCCGGTCCGAAACTGAAATGCTTCCCTCCTCCTGCAGGTTCTGGGGAACCGAACGGAGTTCCAGCGCGTGGCGTCGCTCCTCCAGGACACCGTAGACTTCGACATCGACGTCAACGCGTCCGTGTTCGAAACCAACATCAGAGGTGAGGCCCGCGGCCCGGTTCCGGTTCTGATGGGCGGATCCAGAGCTGACCTGCTGTGTTTTGGTAGTGGTGGGCGGCCTGTTGTCGGCCCACATGCTGGCGGGTCGGGCCGGGATGGAGCTGGAGCCCGGATGGCCCTGTTCCGGTCCGCTGCTCCGGATGGCTGAGGAAGCAGCCCGCAAGCTGCTGCCAGGTACCAGACCGGTCCAAACGGGCTTCTGATAGAACCTCACTTCACAAGAGTTTCAGAAACCTTTAAAATGAATTTAGATAATTTAAAGTAAATAAACGTATCCCACAATGCATTGTGCCACCGGTCAATTAAACCACATTTTTTGTCCCAAATGTTCATTTTAAGATCTTTGACAGACTGAACAGGAAGGGAACCAGAGCGGGTCGGACCGAACCATCAGTCATAATGTTTAGTCAGAAAAAGCTAGGCTTCGTCATCAGGTCTGGCCCATAGACATAATATAAGACATTTTTTATTTTTATTTTTATT